GATGCACTAAGCTAAAACTACAAAGTAAAATAGCCAGCCGTTCTTATAGCGAAACACGAGAGCATCTTGGGCAACAGTAAGAAAAGGACAACCAATCTGCATTGATTAGTTAAGGTACACCCTGACTGAACTGTAGTTCAGCTTTCTTTGCGTGATACTCATTTTGTGTTTCACTTTTACTGTTGAGAGGATGTTGGTAAATGGAATTAATACTTGCCTGATACAGCTGAGCTAATGATTTGCATCACATACCTCATTGTCTGGTTCAGCCTCTTTCTACTTAAGATGTTTTCCAGACAGGCTGCACAATTTTTTAATGCATCCATTTAAAAAAAAAAAAAAACCACGGGTTTTTTAGTGATTTTTCGCTCACTTCATTCTTAGCATAAAATACTGATCAAAACACCTTTTTTTTTTTTTTTAGCACATGGCATTTTTGTGTGATAGGGATTGCTAAGTTATGATTCATAGATTTTTTTGTTGTTGTTTCTTTAAGATCATAAGAGTGTGCAAGCACTCGTATAGGGAAAAATGGTCATGCAAATGGAAAAAAAATATCTGCATTTTCACTGCGTGCTTCTTGGAAACTAATTTCCTGTGTCAACGTCTCATCACAAAGGCCAGGTGGAAAAACATACTTTTCATTTTCATTCACTGAAATATGCGTGGATAACTATCTTTCAATATTTTTTTCAATACTGTGTTGTCCGCATCGGAGATTATTCACTCACTTACAAATTGCATCCCCTTGTTTGATTGTGCCATCTAGCTTTATCCCTGTAACATGCAATGTTGTCCGACGCAGAACTGGTTCATGGGAGAGGCTGCTTTTTCCCCACTTCCAGTGGTGAGACCATTGGTGATGCGAGGCAAAGCCAGGAGACTGCACTTCTCTGCTTTGATGCTAGTCCTTCTACACTCACCTTGTACTATGTTAGTAGACTGTTTGTTTGTTGCTCCTCTTTTCAGCTCAGATCCTGAATTAATATCGTAATTTGTGCTCTTTTCTGTCTCCCCAAAAGTATTTTTTTATAATACTGTATTGAGGTTAGTAGTCAGTACTAGATTTAATGAACATGGATGAATAACACTAAAATTAAAATCATATCATTGTTTTATTTGAAAGCTTCCAGTTTATCTGAAAACTATTTCTTACAATTTATGAATCCAAATGAGGATGAAACACCAGATCTCAGAGTCCAGCGTTATCTGCTGTTTGGATTTCTGTCTTGCCACAACCCATGCTCCTCCATTTTTGTCTTGTCTAAATGCAAATTCTAGTACAAACAAACAATTTTAATTAAAAAGGAAAATTTATTGTTTTTTTTTAAGTGAATATTTTAATGATTTGGCGTGGGGCACATGCAGTATTGGGCTAGATTTTCAAATGTAGCCTCCTGTTGGTTAAGATAACTGTCAACAGGGATTTTTAAAATTGCCTAGATTCCTTTTTTGTGTTGAAGTGAATGCATTTTTGAGTGACAGACTTTGGAACTCCATCCCTGTGTACCTGCATTTAAGGTTCTCGATTTGTTTGTCCTATGGTACTGCTATCGTTTTTAACTTTTTAACATCCAGCTAAAGTCGTAATCATACTGTCGTAGCAGTGAATATTACCTAGGGAGGCCAGTTTACAGGCTTTCTTGCAGGGAGCCGTGAATTGTTTTATGAGGCTGTCTACAGTCTGTGGAAAAAACAGGTTAGAGTTTGCCTCAAGGTTCCTATCCTGCTGAGAAGGGAAATTCTTGTCAGAAAGTTACTGACTGATCCGGAGATGTAGTAGAGGGGAGAGCAGAGGGGAGGACACTTGATCCCCTGACAACGTGCTTGAGGTTAACCATTGCCTCTACGAATTGCAAAGTTATCCCCTCATCTCCACAAAGACAGACTAGGAGGAGTGCTGGTTCAGTAAGTTCAAAAGCTGCACATGCTAATGACCAGCTGCAGAGCGAGTACGGAGCGTGTTAGAAATGGTTGTTCTTACAACTCTTCAGGGCAGGAGAAAGCACTGGAAAGAGAACACATTTTTTATTTGCTTTCTTCCACGTGTAAATCTGTTGGACCCACTGAGCAAGGTAGGTCCACCGACATCTCCCTGTAGGTCGGCAGGCTTCAGAGGACAGCCCGTTGCCCACTCCTCTGCCAGGCTCCACGACTTGCCCGGCCCCGTCGGCAGGAACGGCTGTGCTGCGTCAGCTGCAATCCCTGCCACACTGCAGTGGGCAGCGCCCACACGTCAGTTGTTCGGGGAGGTGGGCGCTTACTGGCAGGGGAAGACCCCTGCTTACGCGGTGTGTAACTACACGTACGTAGCCAAGTCCCCTGGAACTCAGTGCTGTCCCGAACTCAGTTTGTACGGTCAGTAGAAAAAGTAATTTCTTTGATGGCTGCAGTCACAAGAGAAAACATTAGTGAGCAGATGAGCTGTAGCCGAGGACTGCTATTGCCTGATAGTTAATAGCTTAGTTAATAGTTGGGATTTTGTGGTAGAGATGGTATTTTGGGATGTGATTTGGATTTATTTTAGAGGTAGTGCTTTGCATGTAACGTTAAAGCACAGAAAAGCATCCTTTAGAAACAGGAAATTTTGTGCCAATTCCTTTCATGAATCCAGCTGCAATATCTGCAGATTTATGGTTTAAATCTCATTTTGCAACCTCCATTGCTTATGTCTGAAAGTCCTGTTTACCGCAGACAGCAGCGATGGCAGATGCCCAGAATGGCTGCTAGACTGAAATCTTGTTCTCTGCCTTACAGAGTAAAGCAATGGCAGTTATTTCTTTCTGTGTCCTTCGGAGCTCCATCACTGTACGTATAATCAGATATCTCTTGCTGAAAGTTATGAGACAGAAGTAATTCAAAAAGCTTCAGGCTTTTACTTGTTAGATCAAAGGGTGGCTGACAAGATAGCGAAGATAAGTCTTTAACTTTTCAATTAATGATGTCAGAATGCTTCATCCTTTGCTGATTAATCATTGCTTTGGACCAAGTAAATGATGCTTCATCTGAGTGAATGAATATGGCCGTATTGAAAGGGATTTGGAGAACTGTCAGATCATTTAATATAGGTCATTTGTAAAGTACTGAATTTAATTATAACATGGATTATCATCTTTAAAACAATGAAAAGAACACACCCTAGTTTTTAAAGAGAGACTGAACTACAAATATAGGACAGATTGCTGGCTTGGCAAATCACAGGTATTTAAAGACTGTGGAGCAGGGATTCTCTGGTTCCCTGCTTCATCCGAGGCTGCTATGCCTGTGGAAACAGGACCCAGTGTACTGCCTTTTGTGTGCCATTTTCCCTGGTGTCCTGTCCGCTCACTCCTTTGGTTATGCCTTATTTATTTCCAGCACTCCCTTTACACTCAGCAAAAGGACTGCAGTCCTGCGGTTAGTGTCTGATAAAGACGGGAATGAGGAGCTGGACAGTGACGAGCAGTTTCTTAGGGCTTTTAGTCACTCCTCTGCTAATATAATGTATATTCCTTATAAAACTTGAACTCTTCCTCTGCGTAAGGAGAAAAGAAGTGTGTGTTTATGGAGTGCCTCAGATGCTCATTGTGTTGTGAATGTAATGCTATTTATAACAGATTGCTGTGCTGGGGAGGGTAGCTGTGGGCTTGTAAGCTACAATCTACACAGACATGGCTAAATCCATTTCATCTTACTCCTCTGAGAATCTCCTTGGTGTTTCTGCTGCTGTTTATGCACGTGAAGGATTTGGTGAAAAGGAAAGCTGCCTCACAGACCAGAAGCCTAGGGAGAATTTCCCTCTTCAGAGAGAGCTTGCTGGCAGTCCACACGTCGTTGAGCATCATTGGGTCTTTGGAGGGTTTATGGAGTTTGTCGGGCTACTTTTAAAAGTCATTTTATGGGCAACCAGTTCTTTCCAGGAAGGTTCCTTGATGGACTTTTTTTATCCTTTTAAAGAAGGCACTTTAGTTTTGGGAAAAAGAAAGGGACAGTGGGAGGCTCCAAGGGCCCCAGGGTGTTACTGCTCTGAGGTAATCCACACTCACCAGGTGAAGCCAGTGGGGCTTAGCAATGACCAGTGACCAGCAGCTGCCACCAAAATCTCTCAGTGCCCGTCTATGGGCTGTTTTGTTTTCGGGTGTGAAGCTTGATGATTCCTTTATGTATTTCACAAAGGTAATTGCTTTTAGGCCTTTGTAAACTCAGTATTATTTCACTTCAAGACTTGGCCTGGCCAGAAGAAAGAGTTACTGTGTGTGGTGTTTTCACAGATTCAAATATTGACCTCAAAATGCGTTATGCTTTTAGGAAATTATAAAGCCTCTTTTTACTTTGAAAACAGCTAGCATTGCATGAATTATGCTGACATTCACGGTTTGTGCCATACGCATTATGGTGAGACTTCTAAGGAATTAATTGATTTGTGTATGTTACAAAGTAGGACGAGTTTTTAATTTCAGCTTGGGTATAGTTTCATCATAAAATGCATGACCATTCTACTCATCATACTGTGATATATACAGTTGTGCAAGATGTGTTTTGAGAATAACTTTCTGAAGATTCCTTGTTTATGGGGTTGAGATACAGCTTTAAGCATAGGCACTGCAAAGTCTAAATAAATTTTTTCTGCCTTCATGCTGCCACTGTTGATGATCAGTCTGACAGAGCTTTATTATGAGGAAAAGTGGTTCCTGCAATATCTCAGCAGTGCATTAATATTCTGATGTCACTTTTGGCCTGAAAGTGAGGAGCTGATATATTACTGGAAGGAGGAAAAAAAGCTAGGAAATACACCCCAGCTAACCTAACACTTTTAGGTTTTTACTGTAGCTTTGCAAATTCTGGTTTATTTGGCTCTCCTCTCTGCATGAATTGTCTGAAATATCAAACTCTGCTGTGCCTGCTTATTCTTTTATGCCTTCACAGAGTTCTCAATTCGTTCTCTCTTGTCTCTCTCTCTGTTTCTTTCCTCTCTCTCTGTGTTTTTCTTTTTGCTGGGGTACCCCGAATCTCCCAAGCAGTGCAGGAGGCCGAACAGGAAGATGTAAAGGTGGTAGTGGATGCCCAAGCTCCGAAACCAACTAAAAAAACCAAGGCAGCAGCTGCGAGCTGTCAGACTGGCAGCACCAGAAAGGAGAAAAAAGGGAAACACAAAGGTTAGCTGCATGCGGCTCCATGTCAGAATTTGAAGTGACTGCAAAATACTTCTGTTTTTTATTTCTTTGCATTTCTGAAAATTGCCTAAAAGTAATTTGTTGGCATTTATATGAGATTGGAAAATGTGAGTGACTTCGTCTTGTCTCAGCATGTACAACCTGGGAGTGAAGGAGGGCTGAAATTTGTAAACACAGTCTTTTCCAAAGGAGACTGTGTGTTCAAATTGCAGAGGAGGAAGAAAGTATTGATGGAAAGATGCTGGTGTTTTCCTGCAGTGTTAAAGAAAATGAGAACCATCTTACACCAATGTGTTTTTTTTAGACTGTTTGCATATCATGTAATTTGAAGAAACAGCCTGAAACTGCAGTCATTTCTGTCCAGACTCTTACCGAGGTTTAAACTATACAAATTAGAGGTTAAACAGGCATTTTGAAAACGAACAGAACTGAGATAACATCCTCGAAGGGGTTCTTGAAGTTGTTAGTTACTTCAGTGTTACTCTGTCCCACCTGGTCGACATACAGGAGGTGTTTGTATGAAAAATTTTCTGCAGTGGCTTTGGGTAACATTAGGTAAACAAAAAAAATACACTATTGCTAATGACAAAAGGGTAGGTAGAAATTACATTGCAATTATTAGATTTAGTATCTGAGCTATGTAGACTAGATGGAAGAAGTAACATGAGCTGTTTTAGAGGTATTCAAATTCTATAGATATATGCACACTCAGAAAAAGAGAGGTTTTTGTACCACATACAGTTGCTTTTTATTTGACAGTGAATGACTAATGAAATTAATAAAAACCTTTCCAATAATTTACAGTTCTTGGGTAGGGCCACTGTAACACTGTCCCACCTGGACTGTACTCTATTCCTATCTTGTGTATGTCCGACATTATTGCTTAAGTAAGAAAAAAGTGTATATCCTTGATGACTCTGTTTAAAGATAGCAATGACTAATAAAGGTAGTTATTGGGATCAGAATGTTGGGGCTTATCTATAGGGATTTTGCAGGACTTGAGCCTACCTCATCAAAATGCCTTACACATCCTTTACATATTGCAGCTTAATTCTTGAGATTGGAATCTACGGCATCTCTGGGTGCAAAGGAAGCCCCAGGTTAGATAAACTTTAGAGTCTGGCCCTGAGGTAAAGACTTTATTCATATATTTGGAAAAAAGATGGTGTGTGTCAATACCTAGGCTTAAAATGAGAAGTAAAAGTCAAAAGTAAAATTAACTGAATGTAAAAGCTGTTGGCAAAATAAGTGAACAGAAAGCTAATGTTTCTCAATTTAATGTAAAAAGTAATGCCACTCCAGCACAGTAATACAGACGCCAAATATTATTTTGAAGTGCATCTTGCTGAAGAGTAAAATTCGTTTACTAGTTTAAACGAAAACCTGTCTTAGGCTGTAACTGAGCATTATGCGGGGTAGTGCTTAAACCATGGTTACTGCCTAACCTTGAGGCTCTGTTTCATCTCATATGATGCCTGTTCTGCCTGTATGGCATGTCTGTGTCTGAGCGATGTTCGGAACTGAAGACATTGGGCTGGTCAGTTACAGTAGGTTTGATGTGACACATGTGCGTTATGTAACACCAACGTGTGTATGCATTCGCACCTTTTCTAGGCAGTTTTCTGGTGAGCTCTTGGCTGAAATGTTCCATGGACAAAGTCCTAGCCGCAGGCCTAGTGAGGCACGTGGCGAGAAGCCGGGATCGTTAGAATGGGTGGTTTCCAGGGCTGCTCTGCAGACGCCGGTCACATGCGTGGTGGGGCTCGCTCGCTGGCTAGCGTGCTCCCAACTCCACTGCTGGGTGTGGGCAAGTGACTCCATGAGCAGTGTGTGCTTGCTGTGAAGGAGTTGCATGGTTTCTTATTATCTCACAGCAGGTAACACCTGGTATTCTTCTCATATGCCAATAATATTTTGATTCATTTTCTGAAAAATTCCCCAAATGGGCAAATGTTGGCATATTTTAATAGGAGCAAGTTGTGTCAGTAAAAGTAATGTCACTTCGTGCAGTCTGAGAACTTTTGCATACTGATACTGCTCTGTGTGTGGGAAACTCATATTGTTAGCTATGGAAACTTCTGCTTCTGCTGTAATTCTTATTGCTCATCCTGCTACGCTATGCGTGGTCTTCCCTGCCCTTCAGGATTTGCCCATCAATTGCATTTTATGTGTATGTTTCCATAGAGTGGAGGTGTTACTCATCAGTTATACTGAAGAAAATGTTGAGTACCTCCTCTCCTAGAGTTTATGCTGACGGTTAGTAACAAATCTGAATTAGCAAATATCTCTGTCAGTTAACTAAGTATGTTTAGAGCATACACATACCACCTTCTCCAGCTCATCTAATTTTTCCATGCAGTGGTATTTAACTGTTCATTCATGTATAGTTTCACCCTTGGATTCCCATCTAGTTTACTTTTGATAGCGTTGTAAACTTGGAGTGTTTGCAGGGGATTGTAATTGGATTTCCAGTCTTGCATCCTTATCAAAGGTGCAGAATATTTTGTTATTGGATGAACAAGTAAAACTGAATGTGACTTTAAAATATGAGAGGGATTTTACTCATCAATCCACTATAGACATAGTTAATCTGTGTTACCTGGGAATGAAGAAAATGCACATGGCAGCAGAACCCCGTAGTGCATCTTGTATCATTTTTTCAGTTACTTTTAAGAGTAAGTGTGAGTCTTCAAGAAAACATTTTTCTAATAATGTTGAAGGATCCTTCAGATCCCCCTAATGGAAGTAGATTAAGGTTAAATGGTTTTATACCATTTTGTGGCACAAGAGATTTTGTTGGAGGAAGTTCATTGGTAAGTAGACCAAATGTTGGAAGTTTTAGGTTGTTCTTTTAGCTTTGCAGTTGCTTCAGGTTTTGCCTCCACTCTGACTACTACGACTGTAGCCTTTGTATATCCTGTAAATGAGCAGGATGGAGGCTGAGGGGTGAATGCACTTTACAGGCTAAAATAGCATTTTAAAGGCTTCTGTTAGTATTTAGCTATAGTGAGCATTACCTTTCTAAGCACAGCCGAGCTCTTTGTGCTTGAAGAAAAAAAGAACCTTTAGACCAGATCCTATGAATAATAATCTAATTCAGAGCAAAAATTGTTGAATTATACATGAATAGCTCTTGAAGCTGTAGTGTAATGATTGTACTCTGGCCTTAGATGTGATGCTTTTTTAAGTGGCTCAAAGAATGATGCAGCTATGATCAGAACAATGTGCTAAAGACAAAAGCGAGGGAAGTATTAGGTTTAATGAGGTTACAAAGACATGAGGCAAGAAGAGGATGTGGCTAATTGCTCACGTAGAGCTGATTGTGCCTCCTGAGTTAGGGGTCAGTGCGTTTTGTAATTCTGTACAGTGTTTAGCGGTTTTTTCTAAATCTGTGATTATTACTGGTATTTCATTCTTAATGATGGTATCCAGTATACACTGTGCATATTTTTAAAGACAGACATCATTTTTATGGGACAGAGCGTGCAAATGTGGTAAATTGATGATGTCTTGTAGTAGCTTAGCTCATTAACCTGATATTTCTGAAAGCTCTGGTCTCCCAGTTTATTGTTTGACATAATATGCAATATTGGAAAAAAACCCCAAATGTAACAAATAAATATGTAAGATGGTTGTCTTTCCAGTGGAGATAGTGGATCAATTTCTGGTTTGATTTGTGAGGCTACTAAGGGGTGATTAAAGATATTAGTGAACCTGGTGTACAGTATTGCTAGATGGTTCAACAGAAGAATAATGCAAACAAGTGAGAAAAGTTGCAGCAGGAACCTGTGAAAAGTATGCACCCTGCGTAGTATTAAAAATTCAAAACCAGAGCATCTTAAATATCAAATAACTTGATGATTCTTTAAAAACTGAGATTCCTGAAAGTGTTACAGGTACATAGTGGTGTGGGGGATTTTGCTTGGTTGAGTTTTTTCCCCCAATAGAGACGTGGAAGAAATGAGTAAATATGCTGGATAAAGTGCTGTTTTGGCTATGTGCAATGAATGGGGCAAAAACAAATCAGGAAGATAAAATGGAACCTTTAAAAAAACCCAGAAAACCATGCAAAGCCAGGAGTTAATTCAAAGTGAAATCTAATATGAAAGTTCAGGAATCATTCAGGAATGCATTAAGAAGAGTGTGGCCAGCAGGTTGAGGGAGGTTCTCCTCCCCCTCTACACTGCCCTGGTGAGGCCACATCTGGAGTACTGTGTCCAGTTCTGGTCTCCCCAGTTCAAGAAAGATGAGGAGCTACTGGAGAGAGTCCAGCGGAGGGCTACAAAGATGATGAGGGCGATGGGGCTACAAAGATGATGAGGGGACTGGAGCATCTCTCCTATGAGGAAAGGCTGAGGGAGCTGGGCTTGTTCAGCCTGAAGAAGAGAAGGCTGAGAGGGGACCTTATAAATGCTTATAAATATCTCAAGGGTG